ATGAATATCTATCTATCTATCTATCTATCACAGCGTATGAATATCTATCTATCTATCTATCTATCTATCTATCTATCTATCTATCACAGCGTATGAATATCTATCTATCTATCTATCTATCTATCACAGCGTATGAATATCTATCTATCTATCTATCTATCTATCTATGCTTATGAATATCTATCTATCTATCTATCTTAGCTTATGAATATCTATCTATCTCAGCTTATGAATATCTATCTATCTCTCACAGCGTATGAATATCTATCTATCTATCTATCTATCTATCTATCTATGCTTATGAATATCTATCTATCTATCTATCTATCACAGCGTATGAATATCTATCTATCTATCTATCTATCTATCTATCTATCTATCTATCTATCACAGCGTATGAATATCTATCTATCTATCTATCTATCTATCACAGCGTATGAATATCTATCTATCTATCTATCACAGCGTATGAATATCTATCTATCTATCTATCTATCTATCTATCTATCACAGCGTATGAATATCTATCTATCTATCTATCTATCTATCTATCACAGCGTATGAATATCTATCTATCTATCTATCTATCTATCTATCTATGCTTATGAATATCTATCAATCTATCTTAGCTTATGAATATCTATCTATCTCAGCTTATGAATATCTATCTATCTATCTATCTATCTATCTATCTATCACAGCGTATGAATATCTATCTATCTATCTATCTATCTATCTATCTATCACAGCGTATGAATATCTATCTCTCTATCACAGCGTATGAATATCTATCTATCTATGTACCTCAGCGTATGAATATCTATCTATCTATATCAATATGTATCTGTTCCTATCAATATCTAAGCCTATCAATATCTATCTAAGCCTATCAATATCTATCTATCTATATCAATATGCATCTATTCCTATCAATATCTATCTAAGTCTATCAATATCTATCCATGCCTATCAGTATCTATCTACCTATATCACGAATTCCATATCTATGTATTTGCAATCGACATCATTTACCACACTTTTCTCAAACTTATTGTAAATTTTGTTCCTCACTACACACTTCCCAGTTTTAACCTTATGCCAGACAAAGCTAAGCCTAGCAGCACTTCATTTCCTACTCCTACCCATACATACACGCGCACGCGCATAAAATAAAAAGTAGCCATGAACTCGATTATACAGCTGAAAAGATTTATCATTATATCTGACTGGCCGATCTTCGATTTTAACAAAGCCTTTCTCTCAAAGACAACAATAACTTCTTTTCTTGAAAAAAGAAATCTAGGTTATTAGGTTAATGTGAAGCATAATATTGTTATATATAAAAACACGGGTAGACACAAGCAAACACAGTTATATATGTATGTCTTGTGTGATTGAATAATGTTCAGTCTTGATTTGCAAAATCACCTGTAAATTAGATCTGAAAAGGTGGTTATATGCATAGATACGCTGTTTAAAGAGTGTAAGCTGACTTTGTTAATAGCAGTGATTTTTTTCTTTTATCTGAAAGTTAATCAAAATTTTTCATAATAAAGATTCAATGTTACAGTAAGGATTCACAATGAAGGGATTTCTCGTGATTGATGGACAATTATTTTGCATTGCAATCTGTGCATTCGTTGCTAATTGCAATTCAATTTCTCGATGTTGTCGAAAGAGAGAAAGAAAGGAACGGAAGAAAGAATGAAAGGCAAACCGAAATTAACGTAAAAAGAGAAGGAATGAAGAATGAAATTAAAAAAAAAACAGAGAAAGCGGAATGGAACACAGAAAGAAAGGAAGAAAGAAAGAAATATTTGCGAAAAAGGAAAAAAAAGCAAAGATGGAGAATTGAAAGCAAAACAGAAAAAGACAAAAATTGAAGACAATACATAAAGAAAGAAAGAAAGAAAGGAAGAAAGAAGAAAGTGATTAACAAAGAAAAAAGAAATCATTAAAAAAGAAAGAAAGAATGAAAGAAAGGGAAGCATTAGAAAGAAAGAAAGAAAGAAAGAAGAAAAGGAAAAGAGAGAAAAGAAGAAGAATTACGAAAAATAAAAAAATGAAAGAAAGAGAATTGATGTCAAAACAGAAACAGACAAAGATTGAAGCCAAAAAGAAAAGAAAGAGAAAAAGAAAAGAAAAAGTTAGAAAGAAAGAAAGAAATATAAAGTTTAATAAATAAATAAATAAATAGAAAGAAAAGGAGAAGAAAGAAAGAATTACGAAAAAGAAAAGAAAGGAAAAGAAAAGGACAAAAATTGAAGAAAGAAAAGAAAAAGAGAAGAAAAAAAGGAAAAAATAAAGCAAGAAGAATAATGAAAAATAAAAAATGAAAGAAGAATTGATGCTAAAACAGAAACAGGCAAAGATTGAAGACAAAACGAAAAGAAAGAAAGAAAGAAGAAAAACAAGAGAAATAAACAGAAATATCAGAAAGAAAGAACGAAAGGAAGAAGAAAGGAAATATCAGAAAGAAAAAATGAAAAAAAGAAGAAAAAGAAAGAAATGGAAATATCAGAATGAAAGAAAGAGACAAACAAAAAAAAAATGAAATATCAGAACGAAAGAAAAAATGACGAAAAAGAAAAAAAAGAAAAGAAGAATTGAAGACAAAATAGAAAAGGACAAAAATTGAAAAAAAAATGAAAAGAAAAGAAAAAAGGAAAAAGTAAAGAAGAAGAAACAAAAGAAAAAAGACATAAAACAAGAAGAATTACGAAAAATAAAAGAAAAGAAAGATGGAGAATTTATGTCAAAACAGAAACAAAGATTAAAGACAAAACGAAAAGAAAGAAAGAAAAAGAATAGAAAGAAAAGGAAATAATCTGAAAAAAGAGAGAAACAGAGAAAAATAAAAATGGAAATATCAGAAAAAAGAAAGAGGGAAAGAAAGAAAAGAAGACAAGGAAATATCACAAAGAAAAGGAAATATCTGAAAAAAGAAAGAAAAAATAGAAATTAAAATATTAGAAAGAAAGAACGAAAGAAAGAAAAGGATATATCAGAAAGAAAGAAAGAAACACGAAAAAGAAAGAAAAAGATATATTAGAAATAAAGAACGAAAGAATGAATGAAAGAAAGAAAGAACGAAAGAAAGAAGAAAAGGAAATAAAAGAAAGAAAAAAACAAGAATAAAAAGTAAAGAAAAGGAAATACCAGAAAGAAAAAACGAGAAGAAACAAAAGCAGAAAGAAGTAAAAGAAAGAAAGAAAGAAAGAAAGAACAGGAAAATGTTTCTGGATATTTTTTTTTTTACTGGAATCTTATGATCCTTTAATCGAAATCAGATGACAGGGAATCGTCCCTTAGACATCAACTGGGCAATTTCTTGTTCCATATATATTAACATGCTCATATCCCGAGTAAAGAATAAAGACTCAGATTTACCACGTTAGGTCTTACTACATTTGTTTTCGTAGCAAGTAGGATTTTACAAGGTTTAGTCATTTTCTACCATAAAACGCCACTTCAGGTCATATGCAATGTTTGGTAAGTGCACATTTTCCTACATAGAAAAAGATGACCATGTATCACATTAAACCATTCATTATTCGTAGTTAATAAATCATTGCATTATTCGAGCCGTTAGACTCGGTGTGTGACATTGACTCTTATTCCCAAGACTTGTACGAACTTGTCAGATACTGAAAGCCGTGTCGCAAGATTGAACAACTTTTGAAAACCGAACTCTACTGAAATTTTAATTTCGCTGCTTGCAAATTTGGGGGACTTTATTTTATTTTTTTTTAAATAAATTTGGGTTAGCTTGGAATATTAATGAAAAAGTCATTTGAAAAGCGTATATGAATTGGTAGGAAACAAAGACCCGTACCAAATAAAAGAAACCACATCACTTGAGGACTACCAACAGCAGCAACAACTAAAATAGATAGCACATGTAACTCGATGAGAAAATAACGACATATTCCACACATTTCAAACAAAAGGCTAGTAAGGAAACCAACATCAATATCTGATAACAGCTACTGGACTTGAAAAAAGTATATTCTTGAAAAGCAGTTATAAGATTTTATAAATTTCAACCGAAGGCAGTATTGGCTGCTCGGTCAATAAACGCCGAATGTTTCCTTGGAGGTTAAACGGCTGATATTACCATAACAATAGAGGTTATCAGTACAGAAATTAGAATTGTTGAGCCGAATAAAATTTCTCGCCTATCTTTTGCGCTGACTTTAGCACTAATATCCTGACTTCATTGCTTATACCCTCAGCTATGGGCTAAATAGCAGGATAGACTGCGTTCTCCCTTCAGCTAGTCTGCCATGTTAGATAGCATGGCAGACTGCGTTTTTGTATTTAATTTTAAATACTCTAAGAGGAAAACTATTCTAATTAGAAAACTTCTCCACTGCCTTTTGCCACAAAGTCAAGGCAATATGAGAAGAAAAAGGAAGCTGTGAAGAGCCATGAACACCTACATCCTGAAGGGAAAAAGTACTTAATATATATAGTCATCCACAGACAGACTGTTTCGCTGTATCACATGTCATTGCTTCAAGCCGGGATCGAAACCCGACCGATTTGGCATCAGTCGGAAACTCTCAACCTTAGGACATCAGCTCACGCAGCGGGAAAGGGAATTTTTAACGTCTTATATACGAGATATAAGTACTACCGGCTATATATATATATATATATATATATATATATATATATATATATATATATATAGAGAGAGAGAGAGAGAGAGAGAGAGAGAGAGAGAGAGAGAAAAGAGAGAGAAATAGAATAGAAGTCGAAAGACGAATAGAATTTTTAAAGAAATACCGGTTCATGCTCTCATTCCACTACATACTAACCCCCCCAAGTGAGGAGTATGTGACAGGAGTTCGGTATATGGCCCAAAGGCAAAAATTGCCCAATCCGTGCGTCGATATCCACCATACTTCTACTTTAGAGAAATGAGGGAGGTACTGTTGTAGGTTGGAATCTCTGTTACTAGGTATGCGTTGCAGCTTTAAAAAAGGAACAAAGAACAAACGCTACACTACGATCCCAGCCCGTGGACGGTATTCGCCTAACCCCTCCAGTGTCATAGGATGTAACATGAAGTCGGTTTAATGTGGAGTGCCCAGATGCGTTCATATTCGTCATGGGCATAACTTGTCCAGGCCCCGCGACAAATGTCACGCTGACATCGGTATCCACCATTTTTGCTTTTTTAGCTCAAAGAGAGAGGTGCTGCCGCAGAATTAGAATACTCCGGGACCAGGCGTCCGTCACAGATTTTTCACTGCCTATCAGAAGACAGAAACACTACAGAACGATAAAGAACAGATACTACACATTGATCCCATCCTAAAGAGAGAAAACACAAAAACAGAGTTCGTAGTATATTTGTAAAATCCCAGCGTTAAATTATGAAATTCGTAACGCTTTTGCGATCTTTTAGACGATATTTTTTTAAAGGCAATTCACCCCAAGCAAGGCGGGAGTGCCACTAGCACGTAAGGGGTTACAGAGGATTGAGAACAAGAGTAAAGCGGTGTGTTTGAGGAAAGATTACAGAGAAGGACAGGGAACAAGCTCAGGGAGTCATATCTCCATTGACATTAGACTTGAATATTTGAAGCTTATAGTCATCGGGGAAGCAAGTAAGGGGAAGGGAGTTCTACAGACGGGAAGTGCGAGAGAAGAAGCTGTTTGAGAAGAAGAGATGCTTACATTTAACAGTTTTAACAGTGAAAGTGGGGGATCGAGATGCTAGCCTGGTAGTACGTTTAAAGTTTTGTAGTCCAGGAACCAGCGAAAGTAGCTTGTCGGAACAGTTGCCGTGAAAATATTTGTGGAAAAGACAGAGGGTGGCCACAGCATGTCTGTGGGATAACAATTGTAGACTAGATTTCCTCGTTATGTACTCTAGAAATTTCGACTGTGATGTTAAGTATAAGTCTCCTTTTTGTTTTCATTTTCTCTAAAACTTCATCAATAGTCACATGTTCAGTCCATGGTATTCTCAACATCCTTCTGTAGAACCAGATTTCTGTCTATATTTCTGAGATGAGTTATTGTAACTATTTATACTATTTACATCATTCTAGTATAATTAAATTTAATAAAATATAAAACAATTTATTTAATAAAATCTAAAATTATATGAAAATATATTTAAAACATAAAAAAAAGTTATGAATAAAGATAGATCAAGTTTTACAGTAAAGTCAAAAAAATTAGACATCATACCAGTCTAGACAAGAGTAGTCATCGGTCTGGTTTATTTTTCCTTCTATGTCCCGTGTCCGATCAGAACGTTGGTGGTCATGGCTCTCCACAATTTCCTGTTGTTTGTTGATCTTAATGAATTTTCTCTTTTTGTTATCTCTCTTAAACCTTGTTCTGTGATTCATTTACTCAAGCTCGCTAGGTATGTTATATGTTCTTTTCCTCTATCCTGCTTGCCTTTGTGTATCAAATTTTCCAAGTCCTCTTTCCTCGTTATGTGCTCTAGAAATTTTCAACTCTTTATTCCTGAGGTTAAGTATAAGACGCTTTTTTATTTCCACTTTCTCTAAAACTTCATAATTGCTCACTTGTCCAGTCCATGATATTCTCAGCATCCTTCTGTGGAACCACATTTCTGTTGCTTCTTCATCTGTGAGGAGATTGTCCCGCAGTCACGGCCATATAGGAGGAAAGATATTACGTAACAGTTCAGTACTGTTTTCTTTGTTTCTAACGACATTTTCCTGTTTCTTAATACCTTGCTTAGCTTTTGAAATGCTTCTTTGGCTATCTCAACGTACGTTCGGATTTGGGTGTCGCACTTTCCGTCCTTAATAATAATAATAATAATAAAAACTTTCTAGATATTTAAATTGGTGTACTTGTTTTAAATCTATCACGGTTAGGATTTTCTAAACGAAGATTTACTCACCAACGTGTCAGAGCATTCATTTATCTCCAAGGGTCACCGTGACATAGGCAGTCTATCGCTCGGGAGAGGGAAAAAGAAAAAGTCAGGGGCGCTAATTGCGGTTGCCTTTTCGCATTTCATTTCAAACTGATGTAAGTAGGCCAGGTCTCGTCTCTTTTGGTACCCGCAGATTTCATGGCAACACTTTCAGCCTTGCCTTCGTCATTTTCCTGCGTAAACTAAACTAAATATTTCTGGCGATAGGGGGAAAAAAACATGCCACGATTGAACATCGAATTTCACCATTTGTTTTGTTTTATCTCATATTTGTTACAGTCTGTTTTAGGACTTTTTCTGTGTGCTTTGTAGAAAAAAAAATCAAAAAAAAAAAAATTAAGAAATAAAATGACCTGTCAATGATCAGAAGCTCCTGACCTACGAGGTACGAGGATCTGTTGAAAAGTGCTCGGCCTGACCCACTTCCCAAAATCTGGCCCAATGACAAAACTGCTGCTCACAATCAATTTTGACAGAGATCTCCTTCCCTCTTTCTCTCTCCCTCGCTTCCTCTCTTTCTCTCTCCCTCGCTTCCTCTCTTTCTCCCCCCCTCTCTCTCTCTCTGAGCTTTTGTTGCACCTAAAAAAAGAGAGAGAGGGTAAGAATTTTAATAGGTTAAAATTACTGATGCAGTGGTCAAGTTAAATGCGTTTAGATATTCACCATTTCGTTTATTTTTTCTACATTGTAATATGATTTCAACTTATTTTTTCATTGTTTAACGTTTCTTTCTTTCTCTTTCCTTCCTTATTGCCTTCTTTACTGCTTTCTTTCTTTCTTTCTTTTTCTCCCTTCCTTCTTTCTTTCCTTCCTTCGTTCTTTTTCTTCTTTCTTTATTTGTCTCTTTCCTTCCTTCCTTTCTTCCTTCCTGCATACTTTATTTGCTTCTTTCGTTCGTTCGTTCCGCCTTTATTTCTTTTTTCCTTTTTTCCTTCCTTCATTTCCTTCTTCATTTCTTTCTTTCTTTCCTGTCCGCCTTCTTTACTTTTTCTTTCATTCTCTCTTTCCTTCTTCCTTAGCGTTTTTCTTTTTCTTTCTTACCTTCCTTTCTTTCTCCTTCCTTCTTTTCTTCCTTCTCTCCATCCTTCCTGCTTTCTTTCTTTTCTTTTTCTTCCTTTTTCTTTCTTTCCTTACTGCTTTCTTTCTTTCTTTTCTTCCTTTTCTTCCTTCCTTCTTTTTTCTTTCTTTTTTGCTTTCTTTCTTTCTTGCTTTCTTTCTTCTTTTTTTTCTTTCTTGCTTTCTTTCTTCCTTCTTTTTTATTTCTTTCTTGTTTTCTTCTTCCTTCTTTTTTCTTTCTTTCTTCCTTCCTTTTTCTTTCTTTCTTGCTTTTTTATCTTCCTTTTCTTCCTTCTTTCTTTTTTCCTTCCTTCATTTCCTTCTAATTTTTTTTCTTTCCTTCCTGCTCGCCTTTTTATTTTCTACTTTTCTTTATCATCCCTTTTCCATTACTTTGTCTTTCTTCATTTCTGTATCTTTCATTGCACCCTTTATTTATTATTTTCCTCCGCTTTTTCTTTTTTCTCGTTCAGAAATTTCTTGAAATCGCTTTTTTATTTTATTTGTACCCCTTTTTTCTCTTTTCAACTTTTGTGTGTCCTAAATTATATCCCTTCTCAATTTTCCCATCTTTTCTTTTTCTTTTCTATTTCGTGGTTTTCTCGTTATTATTTTGTTTTCTTTCTTTCCTTCTTTTTTTAGATTATTTTTTGTTTTCTTTCTTTATTCATACAACTTTTTTCTTTCTATTTTTCTTTTCATCCCTTAGCTGATACCTTTTCTTTCTTTGTGAATCTTTGATTACACACTTTATTCATTCGTATCTTTTGCTTTTCGACTTTTCCTTATCTTTCAGAAATGTCTTAACATCAGTTTTCATTTCTTGCTGTTTATCTATTTTTCCTTTTCAATTTTTTTTTATCCCAAATGAAACCCCTTGTTAATTGTTTCTTCTTTTCTTTCTTTTTCTTTTGTATTTCCTATGTCTATGCCTTTGTTGCTTTTGTTTTTCTTTCTTTGTTTTCGCTCGTCCATGCGTCTTCCTTTCTCTCTTTCCATTCTTTTTTTCCTTTATTCTTCTCTTTCATTTGTTTTCCTTTATACCTCTTTCTTTTTCAACATTTTTTTTACATTTTCTTTCCTCCCTTTCTTCCATTTTTTCTTCTTTCTTTTTTTCCTTCTGACTTTTTCACCTCTTCTTTTGCTTTTCCTGTTTTTGTTTCTTTTTTTCTTTTCTTCGTACATGTATTGTTACATCTTTCTCCTTTTCTTCCTTCTTCCCTCACGATAATGATATTTTTTTTGGTCTTATAATATCTAAAGCACTTCTAATATGCCTTGACCCACTAACCCACTAACTTAAATTACGTAATTTCTCTTTTACTCTTATTTATTTATTTATTATTTTTTTGTAAGTCACATCATGTTTATTTTATATCTTTCTTTTTAAAAATTCTTAACAGGTCTTATTGTCTTAGAATTCCGGTGTATGTATTAGTATATATTTGTAATTTTAAAAACCTATTTTTTATTTTTTAGTCTGCTTTTCTACCAATAAAACAAAAACGAGGCCTCGACATTCCATTTGGCAAAAGTCTTATGTAATCCTCATAACAATTTAAATTGACATTTTTATGAAAGGAAGTTTTATTTTTGCTTTATTTTTTTGTTTGGGGTGGGGGTTACAACTTCGTTGCTAATAAATAGAGCTTCGTTTTGAAGCCTCCGAAATTTTATGTTAAGGGATATATAAGAATATATATATATATATATATATATATATATGATAAAATATAGTATATTTATAGGTTAAAGTGCTCAATACCAGTGATACAGCGTATGTAAATATAAAAGTGGACATTGACGTCAACATCCAGAAGTGACAGTCAGTTTCATCCTAAACGCAATCGTCAGGCCATTTGCTCGACTTTTTATATATACAATTTAGTGATGCATTGTGGGTAGTCTATTGTATTATTCTAACGGTTATTTTGGTGGGCGCTGTTTGTTAAATTTTAAATAAGTTTGTTAGTTTATTATTTACTTAATTCAAAAAATAAATAAATAATCTAACTTATTTTACTTGTTTTTGTTTATTTTATTTATTTATTTTCATTTATTCTTGTTCGTTTTCAGTTTTCGATTTTAAAGTAACGTGGTAAAAATTTGTTTACGTGTCTACACTTTGAGATGAGTTCTGATCATTTATTTAGTAGTTTGTTTAGGTCTGGGAAGGTAATTATAGCTATTTTTTTCACCGGGGTTTACAGTTTTGGGATTAATTGATGTTCTTTTCCTTATTTTTGGCGTGATTTGTATTTAATCGCTCAAATATGTTTAGAAAGAATTGTGCTGTTCGCGTATTTATTATTTATAAAGAATATCTTGTGTGCGAAGTTATTTTTTGTATAATTTTCTTCGATAACTGCTGATTTTACAGGGGCTTGGTATATTGCATTGTTCTGCAAGTAATTGCTGTTTAAGGGACATTCGTTCTTTATTCTGCAGTTACACGTGGGTTTATTTCGTTCAGGTGTCTTGTTGATTGTTTCCGGTTGTGATTTTTATTATTTCTGTCATGTTCTCGGTGCAACTGTGTTTTTACTGAATATCTTGTAAAGAGTAATTGATGCGGGGAAGTGTTTCTGCGGAAATTTAATGAATATTTTCCCTATGTTTGTATATACACACACCTTCCAACATCTTCCCGGCATCAATAATCAAGTAGATATCACAATCAATTAACCGCAGGCCTACCAACAATTTCAGTGAAACCATTTTCAACCAGGCTAAGAAAGACTATGAAACAGCCGTAAAAGATAATGGATTCATGGCAACACTCACATACACACCACACAGCACAAACAAAGCCAACAGGAAGAGACACATCATATGGCTGAACCCATCGTACAACAAAAACGTAAAAACAAACGTAGGAAAAATATTGATTTATTAATGGAATTTTTAATCTAGCATTATTTCTAATTTTTTTTGAAACGTTACATTTAGGGCAGTGGTACCCAAACATTTTTGAGTTGCGTACCAAAACACAACCCTCACGTCCCTAAATGCATAGACATAAACTTACCCCCCCACACACACACACCGATGTATAGTCAATCTTTGATTGGATATTCTTGGTGCATGTATTGCATGTCAAATAAATATTTTAGTATTTCATATAATAATTGTTATATAAATGGGATACCGTGTACAGGGCTGTTCCTAAGGTTTCGTGCACCCTCCAAATCTATGAAACGCAGCCTCTCACATCTATTACATCTCAATTTTCATAAGGTAGTATTCATATAAAATACAAATTTTATTATAACCTAATTATCTACAATAATGGATCATATGCAATATTGGTGAACAATTCCACAAGAAAATTGAAAATATATACAATGTATTTAAATACATATTATTAGAGACATGTCATAATTGACTGGTCTCTAATAATATGTATTTAAATACGTATTATTAGAGACATGTCATAATTGATTGGTCTATCTTAAATAAATTAACAATGTTTTGCGGCAGTTTTTAACATCATTTTTTTTCTGTTAAAAAGTTGAATAATTTAACGTTAAATATTATGGATAAAAATTAGTGAATTTTATATCGTGTTTCTTTTTTTTAAAAAAAAAAAGAAACACGGTATAAAATTCACTATTTTTTATCCATAATATTAGCATGAGCAAAACAAAATTTACGGATTTGGACAAAGAAAAAAAGGACCTAGAATGAAGTCAAAAATCCGTGAAAGGTTTTGATCCCTTAATAGTTGTGCTTAGTTTAATTTGTAACGTGTATAAATGTAAATAGAAAAAAAAGCCAATGCTAAGATAGCGAGGGTCAAAAAGTACTACTCGGGACCTTCAGTCAGGCTTCTCTCCCGGACCGGGCTGTAGAATGAAGACAAGATACACTTCAACTGCAATGTATCGTGTATATTATGGTACACATGTGCCACCTCCACTCTTTGGCTTACCACTTTTTCACCACCCCTCTGGATATTTCCATCGACCCCAGGGTGGCGGTACCGCCCACTTTGAAAATCACTGATTTAGAGTACACCTGCTTGAATAGACATCGTTTAGTGATGAATTTGACATCTATCGGCCTGGGCAATCGAACGACCTCTGAAAGAAAATCTGCCTCTCAAGAGGGATCGTACATGCGTTCCATTCCATCTTGAGAATCCATCTTTAAGTTAGGCTTGCTTCACCGTTCAGCCACAAAAGGCTTCATAGCAAAGACACATTGTATTCTTTTTAGGAAAACGCATCTCTCATTGGGACCTTTTGAAACATTTATTTAACCTTATTTTCACACCCGAAAAATAATTTTAAAACAAATATTTTTTTAGCCCAACATTATTCCTTCTTACTAAAACTTTATATTTCGTGCGTCAAGGTGTCTGAATAGACAACTCTGCTTTTTAAAACAGTGAAATTAACACCTATCTTCCTCGGTAATCGAAAGTCTTATTAAAGAAGTACGTCCATCTCAAAAGGGGTTTCCCAGGATAAAGGAAAAGTAGGTTCGATCTCAGCTGAGAGGCATGTTT